ACCGAGTCAAACCCCAACGTTAATCCCACTCCCAAGACTCATCCCGTTTGTTCACGTTGCTTGATTTCCACCATTAATTTCTGGAGAGCAGGATGGCTCTCAGCCTTCAGCCTGTAAAGCGGAGAGAAGTACTGAGATGGCATCAGGAGACTGGTATCGGTGGGGAAAACTGCCCCTGGAAAGCGAAGCAATTAACTTGGCTGTGGTTTCTTAACAAAAACATTGTTCCCTTAAATTGACTTGTGGCATTTAGTGCTTCCCTGGAAAAAGTTCACTAGAGCTGTGCAAGTCACACTGTTCTAGCAGAGCGCTGCCTCGTAGCTGCCTTGGTGTGTTCAGGAGCCAGGGACTGCGTGCACGCTCTGGTTTTCATTGTTGTAAGCGGCTTTGGCAGAGTCTAGCGTGGGAGGTTTGCCCGGTGCCTGGCACTGTGGAACCCAAGCTCGCTTGGAGATTTGAGGGTGCTGTCCTAGAATAAATCTGAATTTATAAGCCTGGAACTGGGGAGGGTACTCTGTGCACAGCCTTCAGGTCTGCAGGGGAGATTGTTTTGCTGGATCTTTCCTTAGGAGCTTCAAATTGTGAGAAGTTTCCTCTCCTTTAGGAATCAGCTCGCAGGGAACTCCTCTGAAGTCAGGGCATTTAGGACAAAACGTGTTTTCTAAAGGAGGAGTAAGCTGGCACCTCGTCCCAAGGTGCTTGTGGTCTTTACAGCCTGTGTTTGGAAAGACATGAGATTAAAGAGCGTGATTTGCTGCCAGCACGGTGGGGAGCTCATCTGCTCTCCCTGCTCCCTGCCTCAGTTTCCCAGTGTGCCGTGATAACAGTAGCCCTTTGGAACGGCATTGCCTCCGAGTGAAATGCCTAAATTATGAATTTTGAAGCCTAAATAGCTCAAAAGTGATCCTAATGAGGTGAAGGTTTTGCTGCTTGCTGGCTTACTGCTGGTCAGTCCAGATGCTGCTGCCTGACGCCTGGGGAGCCAGGCTGGCTCCGAGGGCTCGGCTCCAGCTCAGGCTGCCTGCTCGCTGCCCGCGGAGCCAGGTCTGGATTAGCAGTCTGGCACTCTGCAGTCCCCGGCATGTCCCTTGTCCCCGGGGAGCACGGAGAGCAGCTGCTCGGGGAGCATTTCCCACTGCCGTGACAGCTGGGGCTGCCCAGAGCACGCGTGCGCTCCCGGGAGTGACTGAGCCAGAGGAAAGCAAAGAGCGACCTGTGCTCTTCCCCCACCCTGAGACTCCCTTTTGCCAGGGACGGCGGCCCCCTCCCTTGTCTCTGCGTTAGCGGAGTTTCCTGGCCTGGCAGGAAGGAGCGGGGCCCCCCACTGCT